TTCAGCACCATGGCTCTTGCTTTATCCTCCAAGGCTTAAACTACTGCCAACTTTATTTAATTTCTATATCAGGATGCATAACAAAAATAGGCTACAGGAATAATGCCTTCCACAGGCAGGATGATTTGACTTGGCATCACCACATCCACAGATGTTATTTGCTCTTCTGCCCACTTTGCCTTTTTCCATGCTGAGTGAGGCACAGATCTTGACTTGTCTGGTGGTGGAAAGAACAGCTCTTCCTTGTACCGGCCCAGCTAAGTGTCCTTTTCATTGAGCACCTCTCATAATCCCCATTTTATTGCCCATCCCAGCAGCATATGTGTCCCCACCTTTGTGGGGGGCCGTTCACACAGGGGACTTGATCAGGGGGAGGAGTCATGCTTCTCTGTCCCTGCTCAGACAGTTGATTGAGGGAAACAAGTGCTCTTCTCAGTTCTAGCTGAACCCCCCTCTTGCACCTACACTTTCATCTCCAAGCCCAGATCCCTAAAGGAACCCAAGGAGGGTCTGTGGGTCACACAGAGCATCCACAGGTGGGAGATTCTATACTCCTGCACATTATGAAGCCATTGCCAGATGTCACCAAAGAGCTCTGGAGTTCAATGTTAGGAAAATGCTGATGACATCCTGTTTAATTTCTCTCTGAGTATGAAGGGATTGCCATCTAAATCCATATCTTGAAGACATTAGCAAGAGACTGAATGTTAAAATGTTAAGGCTGAATCCCTACGAGATGGTGCTAAAGAAGCCCTTCAGTGCTCCTCAGGGAGTAGTTCTACCTGCTTTTCTTGTAGTGTTACTTAGCAAGCCTCAGAAAATTTGGAATTTTGGGGTTTACTTGGCTCTTCCTTTTCTCCTTAAAGCACTGCTGGCTGGAGGTGTCTTTTTTTCACATGATTGCCATTAACAGGAAGCTTCATATTGGTGACTAAAAATTGTACCCCAGCAAATTATCTCCAGGTGGTTTGCATCACTTTGCACAGCTGCCTGAATGTAGACCTTAAAAATAATTGCTAGAAAAATTCATTGAACTTGGCTTTCTACAGAGCCAAGCCAGTACTTTCTGGGCAGAAGTACTGCAAACAATATCCTTTTGCGATGAATACTGTTGCTTAAAATAAGAACTGTAAACTAAGATAATATCAGGACACTGGCTTTCTCTGCACATGGTCTTGGTCTTTTTTAATATTTTCTTGCCATCCTACTTAGAAGAAAGCGTTATGTGCTGTTGCCTTTAAAGAAAATTGATTTTGTATAATTTTACTGGGGGACAATTTAAGACAGCTCATTCATTCATTAGATTTATATCCCACCTTTTTCTTTTTTAAGCACTCAAAGCAGCTTGCATCATTCTCCTCCTGCTCTCAGTCTTATCCACACAGCAGCAACCCTGTGAGATAGGCTGAACTGAGAGTCTGTGACTGGTCCAGTGTCACCCAGTTGCCTCCATGGCTGAGCAGAGACTAGAATGCAGATCACCTGAGTCTCAGACTTGCCCTCTCAACCACTACACCACACCAGCTCTCTTTAATTCTTATAATTCTCCATGGTTAAAAGGGGACTTTACTAATACTCAGGTAACACTTATTCTTTTTCATGTCTGTGGACTGAACACTAGTGGTAATTGTGCGTGTGTGTGCATGTGTTCATGTGCGCGTATGCCTGCAGGTATGCGTGTTCTGAGGGGAGATTAATTGAATTCCTGGTTCACATTAAAGGGCACCTTTAATTTGTGGTGGATTAGAAAGTATAAAATAAGAAAGACACTCTGTGAAATAATGGTTTTGGTATAAAATAGTGCCAATTTGAGCAAACGTGTTTTGTTTTTGGTTAGTTTTAATTTCTGAANGAAACCCAGCAGCAAGAGACTTCTTTGTAACTATGGCCATGCTTTGCACTCCCCTGAGTAACATCAAGGTTTTAAAAAAATCTACCATCTCTCTTAAAATTTGTAATTCCTGAACAGTTGTGTTGTCTAAAGTAGCTTTCTAGGCCTGATATTTCATTTTAAAAATGTTTTTCATGCATGCATGGCAGACTGGTAGTTATTTTGAAGGCTAGTAAGTTTTGTAAAATTATTTGCAAGGTTAACCTGTTTTCCTCATGTTGAAAGACTAAGCACAGGCATGTTGAGATCATGCCATGTGGACTAACTTGCAAGGTGTTTTCATCAGCTGTACCTGTATAAAGTAGGAGGATCTTGCTTCCTTTATCCTTGTTGCACCTGCAAGAATCAACTCTAGATATGGGGTGAACATTTGAAAAGGTATTAGAAAAGCAAGCCCCATTTACTTCCTTGAGTTTGGCCTAGCTTCATTCAATTTTAGAATTGTGAATACCATAACTTACTTCTGAAGGGAAGGAGGAAGTTCATCTTAGTTGGGCTGGTCCGTGCCCTGCCTGCTTAGTTAGCTTTAATGTTGAACTAAGGGCTTGGAGCATGCTCAGAAACATTATTTCCTGTAATTGCTACTTCAACAAGGCAGAACATGATTGTAGTCCTCTCTCGATAGTGAGATGAGCTTTCTTATTGTTGATAGTTACTATTCCCCACCCCTGCAACCAAAGGACTGCGTTTGTGCTCTTGCCTTCCTTGACGTTGCTTGCAGTTGCAGAGGGTTGGGGCAACAGCTGGGTTCTTGCTAGCCTTCCTTTTAAGAAACTTCAAATGTCCCCAGATTTTTATAAATACCTATACGGCATGTGTATGCTTTCGCTAATGACATAACTTTTTTGGGATGGTTTTCTCACAGTTGAACTGGACAGTGATAACCCATTTCATTCTTGTGTATACATTTACTACCCTAGTTGCTTGTTAAGCGCTTCTAAACTGTGGAGTAGAATGCCACTAAATAAATAAATAATTTGCTGAAACATATTGACTTGCAATCATGGCTGCTGCTGATTGTTTTATGTATGCAAGCCTTTGCTTGAAGCGTGCACACGAGAACTTAAGGAGAGTATCAGTTACAGATGTGTCCTGCTTTGTCATCTTTTTGTGTGCTTTGGAAATATGTGTCGAGATTTTTAAAAATGTGGTACTCATTCAGCTCACAATATGGTAAAGGTGCAAAAGGCAGAAAGCATAGTGTAGTGGTCAGAGTGTTGGACTAGAACCCGAAGCCTGGGTTTTAGCCCCTGCTTGAACTTGAAGCTGAGTGAGTGGCTTTAGACAAGTCATGGACTTTATAGGATGGTTGTTAGGATAAAATGGAGAGGAAGAAGCTCATGTAAGCTATTTTGCCGGCAAAATGGTGGGATATAATTATATTAAATAACTAAGTAATAAATAAAAGGTAATAAAAGACCAAGCCACTTTAGGATGGTTTCTTGACTTGAAATACGGTAAAACTATTGAAAACCCAATTTAAAATAAGGCTTATTCTTTTAGATTCCATTAAAACTTCCCACTGTGGCTCCCTTTTGTGGGTGTAAAGTAGTGCTGGACTCAGGTTGGTGAATAGGCTAGATCCCTAAGATTTAAATAGTTCA